AGCAGTATGGCTTTCCAGAAATCATGATCCAGTTTCTTAAATAAATAAATAAATAAATACAAATCCATAGAGCTTATTGTTAGTGGTTTCGTGTTGGATCTATTTTCTTTATACTATCTACATCCGCCAACCAAACGAAACCCATAGCGCGCTAATCTCTCAGCTCAGTTGAAAGAAGGATGGGGATTATTGTTTGCATCTACATGCTTGCTCCACGACCTAATTGCATCTCATATAGGCTCTATAAAAACACCCCATAAGTCCTCAAATACCTGTGGAATCTGATGAAGGTAGTGTGGCAGAAAGGAGTTATTCCAAAGGCTTGGCGAAGAGCAGGAGGTATTCTGATCCCTAAGGAGAAGAACTCCTCATCCATCAGCCAATTTCGCCAGATCAGCCTGCTGAACGTAGAGGGAAAGATCTTCTTCAGTGTCTTTGCCCCAAAAATATCTACTTTCCTGCAAAGAAACAACTACATTGACACATCAGTGCAGAAGGCCGGCATCCAGGGCTTCTCGGGGTGCCTGGAGCATGCCAGCGTCATCTGGCACCAGATTCAAACTGCCAAGAAAGAACAAAGAGACCATCACGTGGTCTTTTTAGACCTTGCCAATGCCTTTGGGTCAGTTCTGCATGAGATCTTGTCGATGACCTTCAACTATTTCAGCGTACCGAACCACAGCACAAGACTGGTCAAGACCTACTTTCAGTTTTGTGTGACAGCTGAGAACACCACCACAGCCTGGCAGCACCTGGAAATTGGAGTCGATGGCAGGCTGCATTTTTTCCCCTCTGGCATTTATCATGGCAATGGAGCTGGTCATGCGGGCATCTCAGTGGGTAGTGGGAGGTGAGACACTCATGAGTGGCCTTTGTCTTCCTCCCATTAGAGCCTACATGGATGACATGACCATCATTACAACAACAAAACCATGTACTAGGCGATTGCTACAGAAGCTCCAGGGAAACAGCCGAGCAATTCTATATCAGTGGAGAACAAATTCCAACCATCCTAGAGAAGCCCATAAAGAGCCTGGGACGGTAGTATAACGCAGACCTCAATGATACGTGGCAACTAGAACAACTAAGGCAGAACTTGGCTAATGACCTCAAGCGGATTAACAACACTGCACTCCCAGGGAAACTGAAGCTCTGAACCCAGTTTGGGTTATTACCTAGACTACTGTGGCTTTTGACAATGTACGAGGTCTCACTCAATCATGCCAATCGACTAGAGAGGCTAGTGAGCTTCTACGTTAAGAAGTGGCTTGGACTTCCCAAATGCCTAAGCAGCGTTGGACTCTACGCGAGGGGATACTGTCATTGCCTATGCCTAGTCTGATAGAGGAGTTAAAATGTGCAAAAGTGAGGCTTATGATGTCACTCACGGACTCCCGGGACCCAATAGTGAGAAGCACTGCTCCCACTCTAGCGAAGGGGAGGAAGTGGACCCCAGCCACATCTGTGCTACAGGCCAAATCTGCTCTTCAGCATCGTGACGTGGAGGGTCATGTCCAACAGGGCAGAGGAGGATTTGGACTTAGAGCAGTAACACCTCGGTGGCAACAGGCATCTGTAACCGAACATCAAAAAATGGTGGTGGAAGAGGTGCGCCGACAGGAGGAAACAGCCAGACATGCCACAGCCGTAGCGCTGGCCAAGCAGGGTCGCTGGATGAATTGGTAGAGTGTGGAAAAGAGGAAACTCTCATGGAGTGAATTCTGGGGAATGGAGTCTAATAGACTAAGTTTCATCATCCGATATGATGTGTTACCTTCCCCAATAAATCTGCAGCTGTGGTTTGGAAAGGACCCATCCTGACCCCTGTGTACAGTCCCAGCCACACTGAAGTACATCTTGGTTGGTTCTAGGACTAGCCTTACTCAGGGCAGACACATGGAGACACAACCAGGTCCTCAGGTGTCTAGCCGAGAAAGTTGAGTGCAAAAGAAAATCCATCAACGCTCAACCTTTAACGAACCAAGAGGAGTGTCAGCTGTCATCAACATTTGTCCGGGAGCCAAGTCGAGGACAAGCCCCTCAACCCCGGACCTGGGCCCACTAAAGGTTGCCACGGATTGGCAGATGCAAGTGGACTTGGATCAGAGGCTAATTTTTCCCACAGAGATCGTAACAACTACTCTGCGACCAGACCTCGTCCTTTGGTCGAACTCCCAAAAACTCGCGTACGTCATTGAGCTGACGGTACCATGGGAGGAAGCAATTGAGGAAGCATTTGAGCGTAAGAAGCTGCAGTATGCCAACTTGAGGCAGAGGACAGAGGCTGGAAGATCAAGGTGCGTCAGTGGAAGTGGGGTGCAGGGGCTTTGTTGCCAGTACAACAGCAAAACTGCTTAGAGAGATTGGGATCAGAGGACAGGCGCAACAGCAGGTTATAAGAGAACTAGCTAACACTGCTGAGAGGACCAGTCACTGGCTATGGTTAAAAAGAGCTGACATCACTTGGGCAGCTAAGGCAGTCAGCTAACCGCGAGAGAAAAGAAAATATTCCGCTCTTCTCCCCTCTGCTCTTCTTCCCTTTTCTGGGAGGCAGTGGGGAGGTAGAGCGTACAGGCGGGAAGGTGCGGGAAGCCAGATCGGGCGCCCCCCTTCCGGCTCTCCTCTCTGCTCTCTCCTATCTTGTCCCTTTTGTCTTACTTCTCTCTATCACCTTTTCTATCCCTTTGAAGAAGTTAGGCTCCATAAATAATACTTACCTAAAGAGGTAAGTATTATTTCTCAGTTGCAGTGAATAGATAGGAGAAAATAAACTGTAGAAAACTAAACAGAAGAAAGAAGAAGAGAAATAACAATTTAGCATAAACCAGTGACACACTCCGGGGCCTGATCAACCCTGGCAGGGCCTCCTTGGATGAGGGTGTCTAGTGATAATGGCTGAAACACCCGATGAATCCAAGGTCCACTACTGATGATGTGTCCCAAATCTTAATATGATAATCTAGATCAAATCTCTAATCCCAAAAAATGGCAGATTAGCTTGGGTAAAAGACTGAAAGTTGAGGCACACAACGATGTGTGCTGCTGGTAAAGTTTCTGGGCTGCCTTTCCTCATAACAGCCATCCCTCAAGATTCTCGCCATTTAAAGCAATGCATTATCAGGGACTACAACATCTAGTCCTTTTACTGAATTATTATAGCCAGTGTCTCCAGGGAGGAACTTTGATATCAGTTCAAAGTTATATAAAATGATTCTGTATTTAAAGAATTAAAACAACAATAGCAACAAAGAATTATCTTCTCACAGGTTTTGACCTCCTGGATTTCTCAGACCAGATTTCTCTGCTATCCATCTCTTCATTGGACGTCATGTTCCTGCTCTCTGCCCAGCAGTTTTCCCACAACCCAACAAGCCCCAGTCCAGGTGAAAAAACACCAGGAGAGAGGAAGATGATAAGACACAAGTAGATAACTGTATGAAATAACCATTCTTTCTTTTTTTCTCTCCATTAATCAGCACTGCAGCTTTTCAGTATGTCAACACACAGCTTTCTCAGAGACGTAGAATCAAAGGAAAACATCCACAGCAGGGGACTCATTAGTTCAGGTGGGTACACACACACACACACAGAGATACACTCCTTAGTCTGACAAGCTGTGGAAAAATTGCTCAGACAATGAATGAATTAGATGTTTTTTTCCACATTTGCTGGCGTGAACAGAGAGCGGTGAGGATCTCTTTGCACCAGTGCTCAACTTCTTCCACAGCATGGTTGCGCTGCGGGTGACGGAGGCTGAGTACACCTTACTTACAGCCACAGCGCTGCTCTGCTCAGGTCAGACCAGGAATAAAATCAGCTGTCAAGTTAAGAATTGGCAAAGCAAAGTTCCTGGGATGCTGTTGTAAAGCTGTCTCTGTCTTTCTGTCCCTGTCTGCAGACCGCGCATCCCTGCAGGCAGCCAGCTGTGTTGAGAAAATGCAGGAACTGATCCTGGACCTGCTGTCCAGGTTGTGCGGGGCCCAAGCTGGAGCAGCGCGAGGAGGAGCGCAGAGGTTTGGCCGCCTGCTGGGCAGACTGACGGAGCTGCGAACCCTCCGCCACAACTACCTCCTCCTGACAAGACAGCAGTCTGGACACTGACAGTGAAGATGTGCAAGAAATTCTGAAAATCTTCAGTCTTTTATGTCTTCACTTCAATTCAAAGACTTATTTGTACAAACACTGTCTTAGAATGGTTCTAATTGGGTATAAATGGGACAGTGTAGGAGACAGTTACTCAGCTGTCTTTGTTTTCTCCCCAGTCCTGAGTCATTTAGGAATTTTAGCCTCTATAACAGGACTGAGATGCACTTGTGGGCTGCTGCAGTTTGTTTCATCAAAGAAACTTTTATAGGTGTTTTTTTATATTTGTATACATTTAACATTCACACTTACAGTACTTTTCACTTTGCTGAACAATGTTAAAATAAAGCATAAAAGGAAAGCTGTAATGATAATTCAGTTGTAATGAACGTACACTCACTGGTCACTTTATTAGGCACACATTACTAGTACTAGGCTGCAACTTTCAGAACGGCCTTAATTTCTTGTATCAAAGATTTAGGAAGGTGCTGGAAACATTCCTCAGAGATTTCTTGTCTGTATTAACATGATAAGCAGCATACATGTAGATTTCTTATCTATACATCCATGATGTGAATCTTCTGTTTCACCACATCCCAAAGGTGCTTTATTGGACTGAGATCTGGTGACTCTGGAGATTATTCGAGTACAGTCACCTCACTGTCATGTTGAGGAGAAAGGATGGATCCATGCTTTCGTGGTGTTTACACCAAATCAGAAGGGGTGCTTGCTTTTCAGGTCTTTTCTTAATTTGGGTGAGCCTGTGTAAATGGTAAATAAAATGGTCTGTATTTGTATAGCGCTTTACTTGGCCCTAAGGACCCCAAAGTGCTTTACACTATACACAATCATACACCCATTCACACACTGGTGATGGCAAGCTACAGTGTAGCCACAGCCGCCCTGGGGCGCAGTGACAGAGGCGAGGCTGCCGGACACTGGCGCCACCGGGCGAGAACTGTAGCCTCTGTTTTCTGTACTTAACTGACACAAGTGGGACCCAGTATGGTCTTCTACTGCTGTACGGCTTCAAAGTTTGGCGTGTTGTGTGTTCAGAGATGCTCTTTTGCATATCAGGTCACTAGAAGTGGTTATCTGAGTAACTGCTGCCTTCTAATCAGCACGAAGCAATCTGACCCTTCTCCTCTGATTTATAGTTCTTTTGCAGAGAACTAGAGGATTTCTTTTTTCGGAGGGCCATTCTTTGTAAACCCTAGAGATGGTTGAACTTCAGCAAGCTGCCATGTGATTGGTCAATGTGATTGGTCAATGAGATAGTGTCAATAACAAGCAGTTGAACAGGTGTACATAACAATGAATGCTTTATCGATCAGTATTAAATAAGAAGAACACAAAACTCCAGGTAAGTATCCCAAAAGCTTTTTTCTTTTTTTAATATAGAATTTATTTCCCCCAAATAAGGAAATACTGGTTACAGACAAAATATTTGGTGAGCAGGTAAAATATGCAGGTAGTACAAGCTTATGAAGGTGTATTTGTCCATTTGATAAAATAGGGCACTCTGTAATAAATAGAATCCTCTGGGAGGTGGGGACAGCAAATGTTGGTCTAAAGTAAAATCCTGAAACTAAACATGTGATGTCATCCATTTAAAAATGTTGGCTGCATGGTTTTAAATCCTCACGCCATTAAATAAGATTTTTGTCAACTTTAACCAATATAGCTTTATTTCTATAGTTCTGTCTTCCATAAATAAATTATTTCTCTCTGTATCAAAAAGAGAATACAAGTATAAAGAACAACGGCTCATTGTGTTGTATGCCCAGAACGTACGCACACATACACGCACACAACACAGTTGAAATTACATCAAAGACAAGCTAAATAAACTGCAGCAAGTCAGGAATTATTAAATCTCCACAAATATACACAGCCTGGCTTTGTCCCTTGTGGGTTGATTGAAATACGCATTTTAAAACGGCAATATTAAATTAAATTCAGTTTGATAATACACTTACATATGTACACAAAGTGTGCCTTTATAATATACAATTGTCTCTGTAAAAGATTTAAATGTAAAAAGCTATTGTATAAAAGATGGCAGTGATGCATTCATTAGTCTTCTGCAGCTCATATAAATATATCAAATCTCTTCTGACTACTTGATTCCTTGGCAGCAGTAGCATTATACAAAATAGACGGGAATTCTTTTACATCAGCGCATCCAGGAGGAGTAAGCAACACCTCAATACAACCCTGAATGGGGAATTTACTGCAGCAACACGGGACCTAAAGGTAACTTCATTCACGTCAGGAGTTCCACCTCCTCAACAATGACACAGAGGCAAACACCAGTCCTCTGTGTGTCAGACACTAGTGGTTTGGTAATAAACTACAGTCCAGGACTCGGCGCCACGGCAACCTCTTTTCGGACCACAGTGTGAATATGAATTCGACCGGCAACAGGAACAGCTCCACCTGCTGCTTTAAGACCAAAGCGAAAATGCATATCGGCCAACTGTGGGTGTACACAGTGCTCACAGAGGCCCCCTACAGGTACCCGGAAGCCACAAAGCCGTGGCTGTGGCTCACCCGGCTCTGGTGAATCATGGCGCGGTCGTATGCCACTTGGACAGATTTGCGGATGCTGGACTTGCGACCTTCCATAATGCGCAGCTTGTCAGCTGTGTCATCTACGCCCAAGGGTGTCACTTTGTCACGCGGAAGCCACTGCCTACAACACCCATGACAGAGGTTAGGATTATTATTACAGCCTTTTATCAAGAGTGATAAAATCTTAATCTTAAAAATAAAATTCAAATCTAAAGAATTATCTACAAACAATTTTCAAATTATTTGTAAAGACAAACAAACTTTCCACCATTTGTCTTTTCATCACATGATACACCTGTGGAAAATGTATCAGGTTTCACTAACCAAACACTTCTGACCTCCATGTGATAAATGGAGCATTGCATAACAGCAATGTTTATGTTAAACTCACCATGTCCGCTTGTTGTCAAAAAAAAGCACCAGGTAAAGTTTCTCATTCATCTCCTCCTGCCGCTGCTCCCCCAGACACAGGACATCTTTGGGTGGGACGGGGATCGGCACCCCATTGTGCAGCAGGCCCTCCTCAGGCATCTCGGGGTCAATGATCTGAAACAAACACAGCCCAGCAGGGAATTTAAACTACACCCTGAGCTGAACGCTCATATTAAATAGTGATATTAAGTCAGATCAGCAATTACCAGAGCAGGATATGAGGGATATCCCCGACACTTGGCCCAAACCAGGTCCAGTGGTTCCAGCTCCATCTCATCCTCTGATGTTTGACTACTATTGCCTGTCAAACAACAGTGACACTCAAATTAGTTCAGCGACTAAATAAATAATCAGGACATAAATGCAACTTAGCTTCAAGAGAACTTGGGATATAGGAGGGAAAAAAGTACCGGTGTAATCCGAGTCTCCGTTGATGATCTCCAGAAAGGGGACTTTAGAAAGAGCCGGTTTCCCAAGGCTACGTTTGGGTGGTGAGTTGCTGTAATACAATACATTATATTGTAATTTTATTATCAGTTGTTAGCAAAACAAACCACAAAGAACACCAGACACACAATGTCTTACATTTCTTTGTGGAGAACTGGGCAAGACCTAAACTCCAAGTCGGATCTGCTATCTTTGTGCGTGTTAAAGCCGTTGGTCAATCCTGAAAGTAAGAGCGAGAGAAATCAGAACAGCAGCAGATAAGAGCCAAAGGAGCAGGAGGGGAAGTCAGAAAAGATGACATATAAGGAGCACTTATGTCTGCTCTTGTCTCAGTTATATTGAAATCCATTAGACAATACAGGGCTAACTGTCTGATCAATCAGGTAGACCTAGGAAAAAAAACAGATTCCTATGCTGTGATCAGTGCATTAGTAGCTAATAACAAATGTACAGTCAGCCCAATCCAGAAAATGTGATCCCTTCCAAGCGAGTCTTTAGGTGTCACTTCTCCTCTCTGAGCAGAACACTTTAAACTTAACGTCAGTAATCAAGCAAAGTTTCTCACCACTTTCCAGCGTGTGATTTGGTGTCTTCTCTGGCTCACTATCTGAACACATGTCTCGACTGGAGGTCCATAGTTCATTAAGGTTGGGGGGTCCTGGGCTCTTCTGTGGGGTTCTGCTTGGAGTGGTCAAAGGTGTGGAAGATGGGGTGCTGGCTGTGGAATTGAGTGCTGAAGAGTTGTTACTTGTATTCTCGTCTTGTGGTCCATTCCCATTCAGCACAGGATTGTCTCGCACTTTGAACAACTTAGCTCCATTTTTTGCCTTCTTAAACAGCACGGAGGTCCGTCGCCCGACTCCCCCCGTCGGGGGCCGTGAGGTGATGCCTAGCTCTGCCAGACCGTTGGTCACTGTCTGTCCTTCACTGTGCAAACTGGGACGTGGCGAAGTTGACCGCTCTTGTGCGCTAATGCAATGAATGTTCTCTGTGGTGCCGTTTGAGAGGTCACCGTCCATCTTAAGGCGTTTGCAGGAGTAGCTGGGGGACTGGGGCTCCCCTGTGATTGGCCGCAGAGTGGGAGGCTCAAGAGGTGTGTCCCCCTGACGTGGAGGAGGAGCCGGCCCTGTAGGTTCCAGTGTCGGGGGCGAAGCGGGTTTGAGGTCCTCTGAAAGGAGAGGAAACGAATGATATTCCAATTCACTCAGCATTGGTTTTAAATGAATCTCCATTTAGTATGTAGTGTGATGCGGTGGTGCAGTATTCACACAGGAAAATGGTGTCACTCTGTAATGATTTACACTTCATTCCAACACTCTAACCACAGTCCAGAGGGAATTGACAGATTCTCTAGATATGGAGGACCTTATCAAGACAAGTGAAAAAGTACTTTGCTCTCACAACTGTACACCATCAACATGGTAACATGGTAGTATCTTTCGTTCTTTACTCAAATAGCAGGAGTTCTCCTGCCATCTTCTATGGTGACACAAGACTGTTTGACTAGACTAGCCTTTAGTCAAAAGTGGGATGATATGGCATGACTGCATGTGGCCATGGAGAGTGGTGAGTCCATGAGAGTGATGTATAGAAGAGGTGCAGACATAGAGTTCACTGGGAGAGAGGATTTGTGAGGCAACCATGGCTAACGAGACTCTGTGGGCCCCTACTTACTAGACTGGAGACAGTGGGGTGGTTGGGGTTGGTGCGTGGGGGGGACCCTGGCTCAATTACCTGAGGACAATGTTCCGTTAGCTCATGTTCACAACTGGTCTCATTGAAAAAAAGTGGCTTTTTAAAGGTTCATGAATTGGCAATTTAATATTGCTGTAAGTCTCTCTCAGTGCCCACCTTTGTCTGAAGATGTGAGGCCGTTATCTGCCTTGGCGTCTTTGTCGTTGTCCTCCTCATCTTGCTCATCATCATCCTCTTCTTTGAGATGTCCATTGTGTAGGATGTGGCGGTGGGACTGGCCCTGCCTGCCCGTCCTGATGCTGTTGATTTCGCGACGAAGCAGGCGGATTCGTCGAGTTCGAGCACCGCTGCATCGCATCGATGTGACAAAGTCCAGCTTTTCCAGCAGCTCCTTCAGTTGTTCTTCCACTGTCATATGCAGCCGGTTCTCTGGATCCAACACGCTGTCAACTGAACACAGCAGGGAGTTTGGTTAGTGCCCAAACAGACACTTAGGTACAACATGATAATAGTACTTCAATGCTGACATTTCACAAAGATGACCAGCCAGGCTTGTTTTCTCAGAGATCTCAAAGGTTAAAAATTTCCCCTCTTTGCAGTGCTATTTCTATTTTATTCTGAATAATTATTTAGCATGGACACCACATATATTGTACATGATAGAATGAATACAAAACTCCTTTTCATCTGTAGTCCCTGGTCTATGATTTGCTTAAACATGAGTCAACTACAACTGAGTATAAAATGTGAGAAATACTAATTAAACCATCTCTTCCTCCAAACTCATATCCATCTCTATCAGTCGATGTATAAACTGTTGAAAAAAAATGAATAAACTGACTGTACCGGCAGCTTTTAAAGGAAAATATTTTCCTGCATGTTACTAAACCCATTATTTGATAATGTAAATTAATAAACACACCATTTAGTTTGTGTTTGGCTCACTTGCATGTCATATATTTTAGTATTGACTGGATTATTAAACGTCCAAAAGCTTAAAAATCAGACCAACTAACCAGAATGTAAAAAATACAAAATATCCTACTATGAAGAGTTGTTTCAGTTTTCACTGCCAGCACTACACTTCATCTTTCTGCCATTTTCTCTCTAAGAAACTCAGCCCAAGAGCTCTCTATTTTCCTGGAACCTCATCAACTACTCAGCAATTATAAGTACTATGAAGCTTAGCGAATATATTTCCAGGTTTTCAGCAAATGTATTTTAAGCCCAGCAACTTACTAAGCCTAGGAAGAAATAATGTTCAGTCAATAAGTTTAGCAAATGAATCTTATTAGCCTACTATTCCAGTTAGCACATAAAAACAGTTCAAGATTTAATAACACTATAAAGATGTTTACAAAAAAATAAACAAAAAACAATTACCGAACCTTTTTGCTTTCAGTTGTTTAGCCAGTTATCTGTCCACTTTTCATGTATTAAAGTAGATTGAACCATTCATATCTTCAACGTGATCAAAGTCGACTTTGATTGGATACTTTTCTGACTACCTTATTTTCCTATTATGAAATGCAGAAAAAAAAACAACAACTAACGGACTCTAAAGATATATTTGTACCTGGGATGTTTTCAGCTCTCGGGCATTACAAAATCTTTGGTTAAAACCCTGATAACTCCTCATTTCTGTTGTCAACTACACCTTCATTACTTAGATGCAGTACGTATTAATATTGCTGTTGTAGCAGTAGCATTTACTGTTATAAATTGGTTAACAGCCACAGTGTGTACACTGTATACACAGAATAGTGTGTACTCTCTACACAGTGTTCTCTTAGTAAGGTGTTACTGGTATTTAAGCATTAACATGTTACAAAACTAGAAAATCTGAATATACTGACAAAAAAACAACCTAATCCTTTGGCACAGAAGAAATAACAGACTGAACACACACAACAGCTTCCAAACCACTAAAGACAGACACAGTATGATCCTCTGACTCACCATCCTCCCAGGTGCAACTGTAAAAGTCTCTTTTCTGGGGTGACTCTGGAAAGTGCATGCCAGTATCTAGGTCTAGCCCAGTGTTGGTGGCTTGTCGCTGTGCATGTCGTAGTATGGCCCCTCCAAGGTCTCGAAGACGTAGTGCTGCTCGGTGAAAGACAGTGTCCTTGGCATTGTAAAGAAGGCAGTTTGACACCATCAGGTTGAAGTCGGCCTCCAGGTCAGCCACTGAGCGGTAGGAATGACTTTCTAGTTTAGAGCGCATAGTGGAAAAGTCCATAGGGTGGCTAATAAACTCAAGGTAATCGGGGACCTGAGGACAAGACAGCACGAACGTTATCATCAGAATGGATGCATGTTTTAAACTACAACAACATCTGCACTGTGCAAAAAAACAAACAAACAAAAACATGTAAATTCTTGTAAACTGTACTGTTACTGTTTTGTATAATTCTACTAAATTCTCAGACAATATGATACAAGAAATTGAACTATATGGGGAATGAGGAACACACTTCCTCTCACTTTCTGACACAATGTAAACTGTGTGCATGCGCATCTGTTATAATAAATGTCTGACCTCCTTGATGTCCACAGGCTGTGTAAAAATCTGGGCTGTGTCCTTCTCCTGTAGTTGGTCCAGAGTGGAGCGTAGCAGAGCCAACACTGGGGTCAACTGCATTTCCAGAGCTGCCTGGTGAACTTTGACCTGCAGTTGACAGAAGACATGTGATATTTACGCAGAAATTGCAAATCTAAAAAAGGTTAGGCTAGACAAACAGAGTGATCTGATTTAATGTTAACCAACCAAGAAAATGTTTATATATATATATATATATATATATATAAAAACAT